GACAGACGGACAGACAGACAGACAGACAGACAGACAGACAGACAGACAGACAGACAGACAGACAGACAGACAGACAGACAGACAGATGTTTCCTAGAGGTGGGCAAAATCCGGATAAATTGTCCGGTTATCCTGATAATTCTCAATGAAACATTATCCGAATTCAGACTCTTTAACTCTCTTTCCCTGCCCGTTTGCCGAAGTGGGTGCACCCACTTGTTGAAGTGATGCTAACCCGTTTGTCGAATTGCTTCTAACCCATTTGCCAAAGCGGTTCATAAGATATTTTTTGCCAAAGAGGTGCACTAACACATTATCCGGATATTACTAAAGCGACTAATTGCCCAGCCCTAATGTTTCGCCTTTCGGACCCTGCACTGTATCCCACAATAGCCCTGTGCGACTTATGTCTGATTATGATGGTCGCTGTCACATTTATGTCGGGCTGACATCTAGAAGGTTCGGAGGGTTAATCCCTCTGACAGCCACAGTGGGCGGTTGGCGGGTGCCCTGGTGTGGTTTGCTTCTCCTTTGCTATCAAACATCTATTGTCCTCATCTATCCTCCTCTTCATTCATTCATTCATTCATTCATTCATTCATTCATTCATTCATTCGTTCATTCATTCATCTGTTTATTTATTTATTTATTTATGTATTTATTTATTTACTCTTTTTTTTTGCCCATGCCCATTTCTATGATATTGACAACATCTGATCAGCAGAAAAATGTGCGTATGACAGTGCTCAATAATGTATTATGTACACAGTTGTTATAACATATAACCGTTACATATAAATGTTCAAGATAATTATAGATTCAAGATAAATAAATATATTTACTTACTTATTTATTTATTGCATATCACTGTTGCTGTTCACCTCAGGCAGTTTCTCTCATGTTTGAAACTTATATGATCTATTTGTTTTGAAAGCACCGTAAAACTCTTACTCAACCAAACAGAAAGAAAGGGGGAGCTTTTAGTTTCGTTTTAGTAAGAGTCTTACGGCCCTTGCAACACAATAAGGTCATATAAATGTCGAAAACTAGAGGTGTTACAAGAGAGTAACATACATAAAATAGAAGGATGGAAAATAAAGACGATAGATGTTTGATAGGAAAAAAGAAGCAAACCACACCGAGCACCCGCCAACCGCCCAGAAAGAGAGAGCTTGAGAAGCGTGAGGTAAGGGGAGGTCGGAAGGGTTAACTCTGTCGTGCGTGTGTGAATTATGGCTCTTCCTGATTTGTGATTAGTGATTGTCACTGGAGTGGACAGTGTGTGTGTGCGT